ATTTACTGTATCGATGTTAAATAAATAAAACGAGACTTAATTCGAAAATACATTGCCTATGTGCAAAAACATTTCGAGAGCTTAAGAATACTATTGCGTTATTTGCGGCTTGATAAAATAATTACAGAAAGAAAGAAATACATCTTTGGTATCTTGAAATGAACAAGAACGCTTTTTACTTCGCATAAAAATCCGTTCACGAGATATTTTAGGTTCCCAAGACCTTCGAAATCTCTCACGCGCGCCTGACGCATCGTCATAATGGCGCGAAGGATCAATAGCGAGTGGAATCGGATGGCAGGACAACCGGGAAAGTAGTATCGACGATTTCCCTAAACGATGCTATCGTTTCTCGCTCGACACGGAGCGGGTGTCCGTGCAGCCTAGCATAATCGGCAGCCCCTCGTGAATAAGTCCGCAGTCGAACCCGTTCTCCAATTAAGAGATCCGATCGGCCGGATCGCGAAATAAATTGCGATCGTCGAAAAAGCGTGGCTAACCCGGGCCTTGTGGAGCATGTCGTCGCGTCGAACAATGTGTACTTATCGCGAATACACTCTCTAATTGAGTGCCGAGTCCATTGTGCGGACTGTTCGTCTCCGATCTGCGGCAGAATCGTATCGTCAGCCGGTTGGCAGAGCTATCGGATCCCGAATGTTAACGCTTCGCGCTCCCGTAACACGCGCGGCCGCGTTATTAAAAATAATCCAGCGCGCGAGTGGGTGTCCCAGCGACTTTCGCGATAATCAATAGGCTATATATCCGCTCGCGGATTTTCCCGCGTGCGGAAACAGAGAAAGCGGAGCGACGGCACCGGTGTGCACGCGTGCTACGTTCGTCGGCGTAGACTACTCGTCGGCGTTGCCGGTCGAGAGCCGTTCGAGGCGTGTTCTCCGTCGAGGAGCGCCGACTGGAAAGGGTGAAAAGGGTGAAAGTCGATCGGTGAAAATTTCACTCGACGCGGTCTGGTGTCGCGGCACCGCTTCCGCGTTTTAACCCCCATTAGTGACCCAACCACCGAGGCAGTCTAGGTCCAAAGCGGCGCGGCGCGGAGAGGAAGCGGGCCGCCCGAGCAGTTTGGAGTTGTGCACGGAGCAGCTCCGTTACACCGAACAACTTAATGTTATGTAAAAATAGCGGGGGTTTCCGTCCGCCACACTTTCCCCTCTTCCTACGGCCGCCTGTATATTAATGCGAGAACGCGAAGCGGCGCGGCCAGACGAGAGCCAGTCGAACCTCGAGCAGATGCTCGCCGCCGGAATATCTAAATAAATCCGCGCGTCGGCCACCCTTAAAATCCTCGAGTCGAATAAGTAATAACGCTCGCAGAGGCCGACGCGGTTGTTAGATCCGTCCCTTTTCCGTATTCCATCTTGCCCTCGCCTGCATAAGCGAGCGCTTAGTCCGATTTCGGGACTTTAATTGGCCCGGGGGAATTCCGCTGCGTGGACTTACTTTACGAGGAAACTTTTCGGGGATATCTCGCGGCCACCCCCCCTCAACCCCTCGGAACACCACCGGGGACCGGCATATTTTTTTCTTGTCCCTGCCCGACAGCACAACCGGAGAGAGCCGTCGCGATGAGATACTCTTTCTCCGTGGCGAGATTTAATCAGTTTCGCCGTCTCTGCGCCCGATTATGCAATCGCTTTGATGCAACTTCGCCAACGAATCTAGCCCCGCGTCTTCCCACCGCGAGAAACAACCCTTTGCGCGCACCTGCGCAACTCTGGCTGCGGCCGAATTAAATTCGCTGCTTTTCCTAGACTTTACTTTCGGCATCTTTTTTCTTCCCCCGTTCGTTTCTCATTTTGCATGCTTGTAATATTCCGATACACCAGTACGCGTATGCTCTCGAAGAATCGAGACATGTTTGCCGACAGTTACTTTCTATTCCTAACCATAGTTAACGTTAGATAGCAGTCGTAGTAATTTTCTATTCGCAACCATGGCTAATGGTTAGTTTGTAACGATTCTCACAGTTTTGTTCGTCAGCTTTTCCAAACATATTTTTAAAGATGTTTAGTCGTTCTTCTTTATTCTTAGTCGTTCTGTAGTTTCTGCAGTGAAACAATTTATTTAATTAAAGACGTTACCGTAATAATTTATTAAATTAATTAATTATTTAATTAATTGAATTACCGTAACACTATTTATTATCAATTGCTTTAACCGAATGACTGTCGAAACTAGCAGTGCTTTAGTAAAATATTACAACAGCCATTTCTCATTTTGAATCGTCCTTTATCATTTTGGATGATCCTTTATCATTTGATAAAGTTTGATTATATAAAAATGATTTTGGAACCTAACGTGTAATAATTTGTCGCGATATCTCGGAATCAACGCTCGAGTACAAGCGAGAGAGCTAAAAAGACTGATCGTAGTCGATATTTCAACCCTTTCGTATCCTAAACATCCTAGTAAAATTCAGTTCGTTCGTTGCAATAAAAAAGTGTTCGACGCGGCACTCGACGCGTCAAGAAAAGGTCCTCGTCTCAAAGAACATCGTCAATTCCTCGATGAAACGGAGCAAACGCGATTGAACAGGTGTTCGCGCTTGTCCACGACGAGTCCTCTAATTCGTCCGAGAACGTCGGAAAGTCTTGGGACGCATTCCCCGCATGTTTTATGCATCGCGTCGCCTTGCTCGAGGCTCGAGCATCATGTTTCTTAATTGAGAGGCGGAAAAACGATTTCGAGCGACTACTGTCGCCGAAGGACACGCACTGCTGATGCACTTGGTGCCGGAGAAGACGTCTTGCGTCTTCTTGGAACACTAATCCCACGCTCGTGGCGGAACTTCCATGATAAAACCGGATGCGTGCACCCCTCGATTAAATACAAAGTTTTGTTAAATTTACAGGACTCGCGATCGGGAGTGATTTTTCGGGAGACTCCTCCAGCCTTTTTCTAAGACACGAGAATATCCGGTTTTTCAACTCGGTGGTTTCTGTGTCTCGGCGATCGGCAGCGTCCTGCTCTAATTTCCGGAGCGACACATCAGCTATTCAGGAGCTTGTGCCCGGCGGCTCGCGATTTGTGCTCTGCGCCGTTTTCGTATGACTCCTGGCCCTTATATAGCGCGGCAAGCTCGTAGGGAGGGAGGGGAAAATTGTCGGCCTGCCTCGCCGGGGACCGATAATTTACTGTATAAATGTATTCTGGGAAAGGTGAGGCGAACCCTCGCCACCCCGTTAATGTTCAATGAGCTCGCGGTGCAGCCCGGCCGATCGTTCGATACAATTTTTATTCGGTTCAAGCTGCGCTGCAGAAACCGCGGAACCCTCCGCGTCTCGCCCTCCGCCGCCCCCCGCCCCCTCGTTACCGCAATTACACCTTGTTCAAATGTGTTACAACCAGACCGTGCGCTTCACACTCCGGATGTTTGACTTTTCCGCGCAAACCGCGCGAGAATCAACCGATTCGATCGTTGCCGTTCCTATTAATTCATTAGCGGCCCCCGGGGCGACTCGGTCTCCTATCCGTTTCAATATTTTCTTTAAAGACCCTTTTATCGAACGATCTCCTTCGGATGCTCGTCTTTCCAACGATCCAAACGAGCTGCGGTAACCTTAAGAAGCTAATTAACAATCGAAGCTGTTTTAACTCTAAATTCGAAACAGTTTTTCCGATCTACGGTGTTTTCATTTTATACGGTTTAGCGCATTTTATGCACACGAAATTAAATTCTGCGACTCGTGCGGTAGTTGCACTTTTTACAGATCTTTAAATGCAGACAGATTCGATGATGGAAGAATTATTTTGGAACTGGTACTATTTTTTTAATTAGGAGGTAGCAGTTTTGTGCGGTACCTGAATCGAGTGTCGACATCCTTGTAGTTAATTCAGGATCTAGGAAGGGTCTAGCGAACTCCGAAGGCTACGCAGGTTTTTAATTAATTTGTTAGTTCCTAGATGACACGATCTTTCATTCATTTCAATATTTTCTCTACCAATCTTTTTACTGAACACTCTTCTCTTAGATCCTTATTCTTTTCGCGATTCAAGAGGGATGCATCAATCCCTTCAGTGCTAATTAAAATGAAAAGAAGTAATGCAGAAGAAGTATCTACTTCTTGCATTATTCTTATATCTTTTATACTATATTCGCAATATATAGACGACGTTCAGATCATATTATTTGTACTTACATTACATTCATGTCATAGATCATGACAGGTCCAATTTTTCGTATAAATACGAATGTTCTTCATTTCTTCTAAATCGAAACAAAATTTGATCTTCCACGATTTGAAAAATAGATTTTTATAAAACTAAATAAACTACAAATATTTACATCATCTCATGTAATACAGAATTTGACGAATAAAGTTTTTTTTTAAATAGTTGTTGCATATAAAGATAGCATTTCAAATATATACTACTATTACTGCTATTAATACTGTTTAAAAAAGGGTTTATTCGCAAAATTCTATACTACACGAGAAGACAAAAATATTCATAGTCCATTCGCTATTTCAAAAATCTGATTTTCTCCAACCCTGGTACGGACCAGAAATTGAAAGGGTTGAAATCCTTGCAACGCGTTCGATCCGGAACCTAGTCAGGATTCGTCGAACTGTTTCGGATGCTGCACGGTTTTTCGGATTTTTGTGCGGCCAGGTGCGGATTCATGGGTGCTGGTTGGCTCTTGAAGAGCAATTAGCCTTCGGTAATCGAGGGCTCTGGCCGGTTTTCGTAGGTAGATTAGCGGGTCCGTTGTACGCGCGTGCAAACACGCGAGAGGCCGTCCAGTTGATCGCAACGACAGGACGATTTACGAGGTTTCGCAGGGCCGGCTGTCGAGCAGATAGACCGAACGTGTCAATTACGATAAAGCTCATCGGCGATCGATGTATCTGATGAAATTATTTAGACGGCCGCTGTCAGGCAACGACGCGACGCGCAGCGCCGCGGCCCACCCGGGTTTACCACGATATTACACGGCGTCGCGTCGCGTCGCACCGATTCTATCGCAAATACAATTACTCCGCCTGTAAATACGTCGGCGTCTACTTTATTCGCGTACGGGCAATCACCGTCGAAAATTCAGGTCCGCGGATGGTATATGGTATGGTCGATGAAAATTTTATTACAAATTCGCGCGGCTATAAAATTAATTGTTGATCCTGCCGCACGGGGCGACAACTTTATTACGCGGTGAAACGACACCGGTTAAAAGGATCCGCTTCCGCTTTTAGTTTCCTGGAAGTTAGGCGAAACTTCGGATAGAGATGTTCGACATTCTTCGAGACTTCCCGGGGCTCTCCGGCTGCTCCGTGGAGCTACCGCCGCGGTTTCCCCGGGAACAGGACTTCGGATATTGTCAGTTTTTCAATGTTCAATCCTGGAGTTCTTAATCGAGCGTCCCTCCGTCTCTTTAACATCTCGGCCGAGCCTGTAATTTATCGGCCCCGGCGTTCGGGTGAACTTGTTGACTCTTCGGCTGCTCTCGTAACTTTCTTCTGTTCCTCGTCTCGCCTCGCCTCGCCGCGCCTCGCCTCGCCTCGCGTTCAACCTTTCGCCTCTTGTCTCCTCCGTGTATCGCGGTCGTTATCCGAATAAACATTTATCTTCTCCTCGAGCCGCCGCAGTTTCTCCTCATCCGATAAATAAGTGTCGCAATCTTTGCCACTGTGATACTCCGACGCATGCCACCCCCGCAAATCATTGCCCTCCGAACTGATCGAGAAACCATTGTCCCTCCTCTTGCCCCTTAACGACGACGCGCTGCTGCTGCTACTGCTGCTACTGCTGCTACTGCTCTTCTCCTTGTCGATCTCGGTCAGCTTCTCGAACAGCTTCTTCTCCCGCAACCCTTTTCTCATGTCCTCGCCGAAAGCGACTTCCTCCAGCTGCTCCTCGTTCGCCTTCCTCCACGACTGCTGTTTGTTCAACAGCAGAATCTCGTCCTCCACTTGGTTCTTGCCCGTTATCGGCTCCATCTCCGTCACTGTCCTCGAAAATTAGAATAAACACAGGATATCTTAGCGTATTCGACTGTCCGCAACAGCGTACCTTGTTCCGTCGGTGCACTGGAGCACTTCGTCGATGCGCTCTCCGAACTATTCGGATCGGAATCGTCGCCGTCTTTCCCCGATTCGTCGACCAGCACGCCTATCGACGATTCACTCCTGCGAGAAGCGAATTGCATCTCTCTCGTTTCTCGTGGTTCGGTTTAACGAATAGTTTAATTTTTGTAATAATAATCTTTGTCCGAAGCATGCTGTCACGGAAAGGGTTAATGGGAAGAAATTGTTCAAGAAGAAAGAAAAGTTACGCGCGTGAATAACCAAATCACAATTGCGTTGTAATAGGCATAATTGAATAGCGCATTTTGAGCAATGAAAGGAGCTAGCAACAATCCAGTTGAGATGTTTTAAACGAGTGTCAACCTAACCACAAAGCGATATCACCATATCCCGCAGTGGGGTATATCGATCGATTTTGCATTCACTTGGAAAGCATTGTATGATTTATGTGTTCTCTCGAATCGTCCTTTGCAATATGTAAAAACGAGGGGATCAAATATATATATGTATAATCTAATAATTAATCGAAAAAATATTTATATACATATATATTAGATTGGAAACTATGAAACGGACGTTTTTGTTTAGTTTGTGTTCAGCTACGACTGTGTTCATTGTAATGTGCGCTCGATATCTTTATTTATAAATTTTAAAGGTAATATTCTTACTCATTTCGTAAAATTTTTTTCGCGTTTGTATCCCATTTTTATTTTATTTCTCTCCGAAACCGGATGGAAACAAAACGCGATTTACATCATTCAACGCACGTTTCATAGTTTCCAGCCTAATAGATAAATTTAACGATGCAAGAATTATGTTGAAGAATGACGTAGCAATTTGCGGTGGCGCTTCGGAGTCGCCATTCGACTGCAAATTCGATTAAAATATTAAATTTCACCGAAAAATGTTCGCGACAGATACAGAAAGTTTCTTAACTTTTGTCGGCTAGTGTACCCCGGCAGCAGGGTCGGAAACGGTTTCCGTCGAACCAGACACGCGATGATCGTCGAATTTCCGCATCTTCGGCGCGACGGAAACGCTCAACTGTTCCTCGTTTCGTTGGAAATGGCTAGGCCTAAGCCCTACGCCCGTCACCGTCGCGACGGCCGATCACGGCAAAACGAAAGCGGGAGCATTACTCTATTTGCTTGCTCTTTTGACTCATTGGCTCGCGAGACCAGTGCTTCTCATCGTTTCGTTTAATTCTGATACGGGCGTAACACGCTGCTTAACTTCTCCGCTACGCTTCGTTTATTTTCATTGACTTTTTATAGCGTTTGCCTCCGGGATTATCGTCCGCTCGTCTCGCATTGAAACGCGTTATCTGATTCGTTCGTCTCAGTGCTACTTGTTTCCTCCGTTCTCATTCATATCGCACTCTATTTTTTTCTTCTCACGCTCGCCTTGTTGCTTTCTCCGTCGATCCGTTCGCTCTACTCGAGCTTCTGCGTTGTTTCTTTTCGTTCGTTGCTTTCCTTAACGGAGCTAATTTGTAACAGTAAACCTATCGAGGCCTAAAACCGACCAAATTGNGAAGAAAGAAAAGTTACGCGCGTGAATAACCAAATCACAATTGCGTTGTAATAGGCATAATTGAATAGCGCATTTTGAGCAATGAAAGGAGCTAGCAACAATCCAGTTGAGATGTTTTAAACGAGTGTCAACCTAACCACAAAGCGATATCACCATATCCCGCAGTGGGGTATATCGATCGATTTTGCATTCACTTGGAAAGCATTGTATGATTTATGTGTTCTCTCGAATCGTCCTTTGCAATATGTAAAAACGAGGGGATCAAATATATATATGTATAATCTAATAATTAATCGAAAAAATATTTATATACATATATATTAGATTGGAAACTATGAAACGGACGTTTTTGTTTAGTTTGTGTTCAGCTACGACTGTGTTCATTGTAATGTGCGCTCGATATCTTTATTTATAAATTTTAAAGATATTCTTACTCATTTCGTAAATTTTTTTTCGTGCTTGTATCCTATTTTCATTTTATATTTCTCTCCGAAACCAGATGGAAACGAAACGCGATTTTTACATCATTCAACGCCCGTTTCATAGTTTCCAACCTAATATACAATATACTATTTAATTTATATTTTAACAGAAACGAAAAAGTGAAAAATGTATCAACTTCTCCCAGACTCCCTGCTTGTAGCAAACCGAAAATATCGTGATCGAATAATGTCAGACAGCTAGCAACATTTCGACAGGAAAATCTTTTTGTTTTAAACGCGATAGCCGAAACCGAAATTGTTCCTTCCGCCCTCCCCCACGTACTTTCCGGAGCTCTGGTCCTCGAGGCTCTGTTTCTGATGGCTGCCGTCGCTCGTCGACGCATCGACCATGTCCATGGAGCTGTAGATCACAGGTGCCTCGAACCCCTGGTGGAACGGGGCCCAAAAATCTTTGTCCAAATAGTCGCGTTTCCGTCGCGTTGCGGCAGCTTTGTGGCCAGCGCTCTTGTGCCGCGGCTGATCAATAGCACCCGCAGCTTTGTCGCGTCTCCCGTGATTCCTTTCACGTTTCCTTTTCGCTCTGTGCTTTTTACGACGCTTTCGACGTTTGTCCACGCTCCTGACAGCCCTGCGCCCTGAAACGTCGACGGCCGACCTTTGTCACGCGGGCGGGAACGCGCGCCAAATTACGCTACACTCGCGCAACCTGCGACATACTGTCTCGATCATCGTCCATGTCGTTCTTCTTGGCCGGTTCCCGAGCGTCGACGACGTTCATCGCGATGCTATCCGGTGGTTCGTCGAACGTCTCCTCGTTCGTCGCGTTTACCAGCCCTGTTAGATACTCGGGGACTTCGGTGGTCGAGTTCGTGAAAGAAGACTCTATCGTCGAAGGCTCCGTGGAAGACTTCGCAGAAGACTCCATGGAAGATGAAGACTTCTGCTTGGACTCGACGTACTCCAACATCGAATTCAGCTGTTTCTCCTGAAGGGAACGAGAACGAGGACTTCAGCATCGCGGTTTTCGTAGGACAAATGGTACTCGACACTTGCCAGGTAGTCGCGGACCGATTGGACCTTCAGCTTCTCCGCTTCCGACAAGGCGTTATAGTCTTTTATCAGGTCCCTCATTAAGCCGAGCTTCTTCTGCATTTCGGCCAGCTCCGCCTTCAGCTTTTCTTCGCTCGGACCGCCTTGGAAGAGGAACTTCTGTTGTGGGAAGCGAACGACTGTTTCTACGGAGTGCACCAGAGGCACCGACGGCAACTGGAAAGAACAATAGACGGCTCTTAATAAATCCTCTCGGTCGGTTACAAGGCTGAGGTCGGTTACAACGTTTACATGCCTGGCTCTGTGTAGTTTCTCCAGGGTTGACTTCCAGCATCCAAGCCAGGAACTCGAGCAGATCGGGCGGCAGGGACACGCACGTCTTCCTCTCAACCTCGTCGAACACCAGACGGTTCAGGAGCTGCATGACTTTCTTCATCAACTCGTCCGTGTGTTTGGTCTAACGAAATCGAATCGGTCCATTCGTCTCTGGCAGAACGAACGATAAGGCATTCGGCTTACCTCGGTATCGTCGAGAACCTGTCGGTACCTCTTGTTGGTTGCGATAGCGACGTCGGTCTTGTAGTTGCGATAGAGCCCCGGGCCCAGGGACGTCTTCAGGTCCTGGTTCTCGTGCACCTGAACAATTTCGTCGGCTAATTCTTTACGTAAAGCCAAGCAGCACTCCTGGAGATCAGGCTCTACCTGATTGTAAACCTGCTCCACAATCTTGCCAGCGAGCTCACCGTGAAGAGCGGTATCCATTTGAGACTCGTCCTGGACGTTGTCCGCTGCCAGCAGCAACGAAACCATCTTCCTCTGCTGATCCTGCGCGTTCTAAAAGATCACGAACTTCGATCAAATCGGTTCAGCGATCGCGGCGAAGTTCGATCGCTTACATCGACGTCAGGCGTCTTCTTGCGGTGCCTTTTCTCTTGGAGAAGCCGTTGACTATCCCCGAGCACTTTCGCTTCGCCGTGGTCGGTCTTACTTTTCTTAACTTCGGCGCGATGCTTCAAGTTCTTGGACCCTCTTTTCTTGTGCTTCTTCTTGCGTTCCTTCGCCTTCGAGTTCTCGGAGTGTTTCTTGCGGTGCCTACGTTTCCTGGTGTTGCCCGACTTCTTCTGCTTGCGCCCCTTCTTCTTCTTTTTTTTCTTCTTGAACCCTCGAGCCTTCTTCTTCTTTTTCTTTCGATCGGTCTCTTTCTTCGCTTTCGGGCTCCTGGCCACTTTCGCGCGACGCTTGCGATCCACCGCTTTCTCTGGATAATTGTACTCGAGGTCAGTGTCGGGATCCGAAAGCCGCGGGAGATCGTCCTGCTCTTGATCCCGGCCGTACCGATTCCGCTCAGCAGCACCGTCGAAGCTGTCCCGACGTTCGCTCGCATCGTCGAGGGAATCCGTCTCCCGTCTGATTCTGGCATTGTCCGTTTTCCCTGAACTACGCAGGCTCGGATCCGCGCTGAACCCGACCTCTGAACCCACGGCGTTCGGAACGTTCGAGCTGCTCCCGGTCCGAGCTATTTCCGTGGAGGACGAGATCGATCTTTTGGTCGCGTTGGACCTCGGGCCCGTGTCCTCGATAGTCTTCAGACCTCTGCCGAGCCTCACGGCCGCGTCCTCGTCGAGATCGTCGACCCAGTCCGACGGCTCCACGAAGGACTCGTGGAGGTCCCGCGGGCTAATTACCGTTTGTTTCGGCCGATCTAGATTTTGGACTTGTTCCCGGCGGAACTGGGCTGCCGGTGGCACCGGATATTTACGGGTTTCGTAAGGAGACCGCGAATCTGTGTCAATATATTGCCGGCGGCCTGTTAATGACCAGCCCGCGGCGTCCTTCTCCCCGGGCGCGTCGTTTCTGCCTCCGTTCACCTGCGATTCAAGGTTTATAGAGCGAAAGGAAAGTAAGTCGGGGCAATAATTTATCGGGAACGCTTAGGTTCGCTTTTTCACCTTTTGTAGACGCGGCCCGCCGTCGGCCCCGATACCGCCGCCCGGTCCTCGTAACTTTTCCACGGTGCTGTTCGCTTGCTCCGGCCCCCCTTTAAACATATCGTCCGTGCTTTTAAGGGCGAAATAATTACTACGGGAAACGTTGCTCGCGGCCGGGCTCTCCAGCTGTTGCGACGACTCGGCCCGGTACGATTTCTCCGACGTTTCTCCGCCAGCCGATCCGTCGTGCGCCAGCAACAGAGGCAGCAAGTTCGGGCTCGGCTCTGTCACGGTAACGTTGAAACATTGATATTCGGACGTCAAGGTAGACGCTGAAGAGTCGCCGGATGTAAAGAAACCGTGCACGTGGCAGATGCAATTGCCATAGCCATTGGAAGAAAGAAATGAACAGGTAGACAATTGTCAAATTCGAGGATGGAATTTATCGCTCCTTGTGTCATTTTTTAAAACGCTTCGTACCAGTTCACTCTGCGTTCGCATGTTAATGCATCGTTCGAATATGACGACGAGTATATACAAAATATTATATTATAATGCACAATGATGTAATTTAACCGTGCAAGTTACTCCGAATGGCACAATAAACTATCAACAAATTTACTCATAATTACATTAGGGAATTGATTGTAAATGCTCTAAGAAAATGCAAAAAAATCTGCATTATTCTGTTGCTCCTGTTTTAGCACACACAAGATATTATATTATAATACACAATGATATAATTTAACCATGCGAGTTACTCCTAATGGCACAGTAAACTGTCAACAAATTTACTCATAATTCCATTAGGGAATTGATCGTAAATGCTCTAAGAAAATACAAAAAGATCTATGCATTTTTCTGTTGCTCCTGTTATAGATTCATTCTGTCATCTTCAAATTATATTCATCTTCCGTTGCTTTTTATTATACGTTCCTAATATTCGAATACGAACGTGTCTTCGACAGATTCTGCGTTTGAAGACGATTACGATACATCGGCTTCTAAGAAAGCGCTTTGAAAAAAGATATTTTTGCGACGATTATTGCTAATACGATAGAATAACTGAGAAATGAAGCCTCGATCTATCGGAACACCGTCACGCGAATTTGTTTATATCTGGTGCAGAGTCTGTGCACTATTATTCGTGCCAATCTATAACCATCAAATAAATGCGACAGTGCATCCTAGTCCTGCGCGGCTTCGGGCTGCAGCTTGATCAGTTAGCGAGCATCGGAATAGAAATTACTTAGCGATAATCGGCTCATGATTCATTGCTGAGACCTGATGAACTAAAAAGCACGGTAAAATTATGAGGATAGAACCGATTGATTAGAGAAACGTGTAGGAGTAGGGCCCAGTCGCGCGGACGATTTTTCACCAGCAGCTTGACACTAATTTTTGTCGTTTACCGGAGGCTGAATTGTCCTCCTCTCTCGGCTCCACAACAACGTTAATCGCGGGATCCTCTTTGTCCTCGAGCTCGTGGTACAGTCTCTGATCCCCCTTGATCCTCGGTCTGATCTTCGCCTCGTCCTCGCTCCAGTCGTACAGATGCTTCAACTCTTCGTACAGCGGTACTACGCTCTCCTTTCTGTCGTTTCTGCGAGATAAGAAACGTTGGAATCGCGCGATCTCATTATCCACGGGGACAGTTAAGACGATACTTGGGATCCGTGCACTGGTAGTCGTCGATCGAACCGGGAACCACCGCCTCGTCCATGCTCATGATGTACTTCATCGGCTTCAGTATGGCTTCGTCCAAGAGCTTCATTTCTTTCCCTTCGCGGCGCACGTTCGACCTGAGCGAACATCGGCCAGTTTAGCACAGACTAAACAGTGCCCTCAGCTCGATCTAACCTGCCTGATTGGTGCCGCGATCCGTCCTGAGCTATGTCGAACGTCTCGACGTTGGCCAGGCCGGAGGACTCGTTCGGTTTCGGGGTGGTCGCCGTCTCGTTCTTCACTTCGTCGGATAGATAATACTGTACGGGCGTCTTGTTCTTCAGTTTCTCCTTCCGCCTCCACTGCTTCTCCATTTCCTTCGCTTGCTGGTCGTCCTTGACCGGCGGCGCAGCGGCTTCTGTCGCAGGTTCAAAAGTCAGTCAGCATTTTAGCGGCCTCTCTGTCTTCGAGTCTGTCACGGTGGTACAGCGAGCGGTCGACAACGAGAACGTTCTCGAGATCCGACTTCGCGAGACCATAGCGGTCCTGAACTTTCGACGATCAGGAAGCGCGCGCGCGCGCGTCATTTACCGAGCCCCAGGTTCGAGACGATCGCGTTCCGCTCGGAATTTGTTTTAACCGGTTCCTGGTCGCCAGTGGCGTCGCGAACTTGTTGCTCGACATCGTCGTCGTAGTCGTAGTACGCGATGAACTCAATCGGTTCGCGTCGCTTTCTCACGCTCTCTCGCTTCGTCTTCTTCTTCTTCCCCAGCTTGTCCGATATCAGCACGTTCACCTTCGCCTTCCCCTTATCTTTCACCGGCGACCGCAGGGTCCTCAGCGGCTGCACGCTGTTCTCTGCGACAAGCAACGCACGTTAACGCTAAACCTACCACGGTCAAGATGACCGATTTTTTATTTTACGATACTACGAACTTTTTGGAGACCTCTTCGTGGGAAATGATCGAACAAATTATATTAGGTCTAGCGGAAAGTTCTGTCCGTTTAGGAAATGAAAGGAAATAATGGATTTTTCATAAATTTAGTAATATTTATTGTACTATATAATTTCCGTCGTTACTTGTGACCTCTTGCCAGCGTGCTGCAATTTGTGAGTAACATTTTTCAAAAATATATGTATCAAATGAACATGTGCATACCTATCGAAATTTGCAATGACATTATCGGACAGAGCTTTCCGGTAGACCTAATATTATTGAAACAAGTCTCATAATTCAATTATGTTTATATAACCTATATTATTATTTATATAACCTAACCCTTATATAGCCCTTATATAACCTAACTTTTATTTATATAACCTAATATTATTGAAACAGGTATCATAATTAAAACTTTACAAAATCCAAATGAATTTTATCTTTTCACTCTTATGAGTCGATGCATGCTAGTCGTGGTTACAGGTCGGTTTGTTTAGTGTTAATCCATCCCGGCGACTCTGAGCTCGAATTTGACGAATTTCCCCGCGAGCTGTGAACGGTGTAACCTGACTACGATGGGGTCAAAGGCGACCTTCGTTCGAATTTTATGGCCAATTCAGTGGAGCATCAAGAAAAAACAGATTGTACAAAATTCCAATTCTACACCTCAATCGCAAGGGTGATTAGGGGGTTAACCGTTTGAGTCCCAAGCAGCGCGATCGCGCTGTTTAGATCTTGTGTCGCGATCAAACTTTAGTGACGCACGTACATCGCGTAGCTGCTTTTTTTCTTTCTTTTTCTTTTTGTCTTATTTGATAATCTTGACGAGCGCCATTCGCTCGGTTCTCTTGGTTCTCTTCGCAATCAATTAAGACAAGCGCTATCACGCTGTTCGGCATTTTTCGTGTTTTCTGAATAATCCCTGGGACTCAAACGGTTCAATCGACAGATCAGTCTTTGACCTATTTTTCCTACTTAACGATTTACAAAAATTCTGAGAATAATTTCACATGTGTCAGAGAATAAATGACCCGGAGTATAAATAATATTATTCGACCATCTAGTAAAGATGGCAGTATGGTGCTAGTAAAAATAACTGTGATGTAAAAATAATCGTAATTTTCACGCGTCTAGAAGAGGAGCACGTTGAAAATTACGTTCAAAAATAATTGACAAATAAAATGACAAATGAGCCCCGAGCACGATAAGTTCTATCTTTGACGAAAATGTCCGCCGTTCGAGCGTCAAAGAAGCCAAGAATCTCGTGAAACACCGCGTTCAAAGTGATCAAACTAACGAGCGCATAAAACGCGGAGCGACGGCGGGGGGAGGAGGGGACAATCTTATTTGCGAATTCTGGAAATAGCTAGGAGCCGGTGAAAATGACTTGCCAGCCTCTCCAGCCTGCCGCGTGTCCTCTTCCATGTCGTAATTCGATTCAGCATTCTCAACGTCGTCGTTCGAATACTCCATGTACTGCAGTATCCTCCGGCCGAATGCATCATTCAATTTTAGATCGGCCACGCCGTCGGGAACTATCACTATTTCATGATACTTCGTCTTTTTGCCTGCCTCGTATTGTTTAAGATCGTCGTCCGGCGCGGAGGAGCCGGCATCGGCCGGAGATGCAGCCGCCCCGACCGGCGGTGCATCATTGTTCTCGGTCAATTTCCCTTTCGCATCCTCTTCTGGCTGCTCCTCTCGGCTCTTAACTTCGTCCCCGGCATTTTCCTTGGCCAGCGACGTCCCGCCGGTGTTTACGCCGGTCCTGCCGCCGGTAGAATCGTCGTAGAACACTCGAGAGCCGTCTTTGTCTCGATTTATCAGCGATTCTTTGACGGTCGCCGCGTTCGTCGCCTCTTTACCCTCGCCCATGAACGCCAACGTATCTTTAAGCATATCGCCGTTTTGTTTGCCAAAAATGCCGGCTCCACCGACCAGAGGAACAACGTCGTGTTCGCTGTTCTTCGGGTCGGCCGGGTCCACCAAAGACTTCATCTTCACGTTGTAGACCGTCGAGAGAGTTTTCTCGGGTTCGCCGGCCTCGTTGCCCAGGACCAGCTTCTTCCGCACGTCCAACGTGTTCAAGACGAACGGAGCCTCGTCCTTGGAACCGCGGCTGTTGCTGAACTGGATCAGGTCCTTGTTCTCCGACTTCAGGAGAATATTAATATTTCCCGATTCCGGCCTCGTCCTCCGTTTCTGAGACAATTTCCCAGCCCCGCTCTCATCCGACCCGAGCGCCGCCTTTGTGAGCTCGCCGTCCTCGCTCAGACGCCCCTGAGGTTCGAACACTTTGATCGCCTGTTCTCCCTCGGCCGAGACAGTCTCCTCGGTTTTCCTCGCCGCCTCTGCCTCCTCCGAGCTCGGTCCGGCCGAGCTCCGCGCAGCCTGCAATCCATTCGAGGCTGGCCCAAAGGTTCGCAAAGAATTTCCCACGAGATCCTCGCCCTTTTCCTCGATCCGCGGCGACCTGTCCTCCATCGCGTTCGAATCGCGCCGAGACAGACCTCTCCTCTTCTGGTCGCTCTTCGGGTTGGACAGAACGTTGCCGAATGCCTCATCCTTCTCGCAACTGCCCTCCGTTTGCGGAATCTCCGCGTTCTCCTCGACCGAACGGCGCTTCTCGGTCGGCGCCGCTTTGCTGCGTCTCCTCTTACGGTCGTGCAGCTTCTTCAGGGCCTCGTCTTCAAGGTATGGCGTCCCAAACCCCGCCCGGTAATATAGTTTAGGGTTGCCGGGGCCGTTGTTGCCTTCGGTCCGCTTCGTTCTCCAAGCTTTCCGGTTGCTCTTATCCTCGAGATCTATCTGCTCGCGTTTACTCAAGTTCGAGGGTAGCCCCGAAGACTCGGAATCGGCTGAAAGCGATCGGCGAACGATGCTCGAATTATGGAAGGATTAATCGGAATGGAAAGCGAGCTGTCACCTGTGTCTTCGTCATCCGACAGCATGTCGTGCTTCTTCTTCCCCCGAACTCTCTGCTCCTCGACGTCCTCTTCGACCTCCACGTTCTTGGCGGTGTCGTGAACCTTCTTGTCGGCCTCGTTCAGGCTCTTCTTCAATTGCAACAGCGTCTCTTTGAGCGCCTCCAGCGACGGCGACGCTTCCCGGTCCTTTACACCTTTTGAAAAGGGAGTAAGATCACTCCGTTCTTTAAGGATCCGCCGAAGATTCATCCCGCGTTAGAGTTGACGAACCTTTGCCGAGAAGATGATTCTTGGGATCGACCTCGTAGTCGCGGATCCATCGATCCCTCCGTTTCTCTTCCGCCGGTTCTTTCGAGTTCAACCAGTCGCTCAACGAGCAGATGTCTTCTGTCTTGGTCCAATCCTTGGGCACCGTGTTGTACAAGGGCTCGCCCGTTCTGCTCTTTGAAGACGATTGCCCTGACCCTGGCACACTGAAAGATTACATATACGTTCGGTCGAAACTATTCGGTTATGTAACGAGTCCGTTCGCGGACCTCTGACACCTAGGAAAAGACCAGGGAAATTACACGAATTCGAAGCGATGGTTCAGATGAATTTTGAGATACGTTCTCGTGGGGCAATTTCTATGCAACTTAGCTCAAACGAAAGTTGGAAGTGTCTACTTTAAGACAGCGTAGGTCAGATTGCGATAGAATGATGAGATCGTTTTGAAACATCAAAAGGAATCGACCTCTGACATCATGGGATTTATCAAATTTAAATGGAGAAGTTTCGATGGATTTTAAAATACGTTCCAGTGGAGTTATTTCAATGCAACATAGCTCAAATGTAAGCTGAAAGTGTCTACTTTTGGACAGAGTTATTATTATTAGGCTGAAATTGTATAATAAGTCCGTTCGCGACGATGACTGCAGAGTACTACCGTTATCTTACAAGAAAACTCGAACGGACTTGTCACACGACCCAGCACAATTAACTTTGATTACCGATCCCGTACCCATTTTGCGAGTCGTCGAGGAGGTCAATGTCCCTTCGAAACATCGAGTCGTCGTAGGATCTCTTCCGCCTCGATTTACCAGCGTGATGATTCTTCGACGCCGCGGCGGATCCAGACACGCGTGACAGCTCCGACGGCGACCTTATCGAAGAGTGTTCGATCGGAATTACGGGGAAGACAACGATTCAAACACATCTTTAATTCATGACGCGGCAGGTAGCTAACACTAGCTACGAATCGATTCTGGAACTCACTTCTGCCAATACTTGGCGCGATTAGCCTCGTGCACGGCCTGATCTATCCACTTGAAGTCGTCCTGGGCTCTGAGAACGTTCTCCAGGAACCTGTTCAACGCCGCGCTGTTCCCGGTGTTTGTCTTCGACGATTGAACACCGCTGCGGACCCGATTGCTCTTTCCCTGCGAGAAGAGAACCCGGCTGATCAATGGGACAAAGCGCTCGTCGCAAAATTGCAGTCGCAACCTGTTGTCCTCGCGGCTGATTCCCAGTCCTGGCGAAGTTTGCGCCGTTACGCGAGAGGCTGAAGCTTCATCTACATCTACAAGACTCAACCTATTAGATCTTTAAGCGACAGAATCGAATCAGAACCGAGCCAGAACTGACTCCAAAGGATCGGAACTGTAATGTTTGAGTTTTACGATAGATTGCTAATGAGATGTTCGCGAGACCAGATCCGTTGTCTTCGAACTTGTTTGCAGGTCTGACGAAGGTCACACATTTTTCGCTAATTTGAGGCTTCGCCTGCTCGACTAACGCTCCATCTATTAGATAATCGACTCTTAAACAGCGCGATTGAATCAGAATCGAGCTGAAATTGATCCAGAAGAATCTATAGTTTGATGTCAACGATTGATGGATGCCTTTGTTAGTTCGGACCTGTTGTATTCGGACTCGTTTGCAGTTCTGATGAAGATTACACATTCCGAGTTTGTTTAAATGTTTATCCGCGTGTCCATCAGATTAGATCCTTGACGTTTGATCTACAGAATCAAACCAGGATGAAAGCTACAGTTTGATGTCAACGATAGATAGAGACCTTTGGCAATCCAAATCTGTTGTCTTTAAACTCTTTTGCAAAGAGTACACATTTTTCGTCGGTTTGAAGCATCGTCTTCGTGTTCAGGCACTAACCTATTAGACTCTCGATCCTTAACATGTTAAGCGCCTGTTGAGGCGGTCGGCCGGCGTTATCTTTTTATCCTTGATACCATACGTCGATGCAGTCCAAACGATAGATTCGCTGTCAGTCTCTGGTAACTGACGCCGTTCAAAAAAAGAGTTCTCCGTCGGTCCAAGAGGACTGACACCGCCCAAACGGAAAGTCCACTGTCGGCCAAGCTGCAGAATTAAACCAGAACTATAGCATTTCACGTCTATGACAGTCGGTGACCTTCGGTAGCCCAGACCTCTCCTCCTCGAACTCCTCCGCAACCCATGCAAAGACTGCACATTCCGTTCGCTCGAAGTTCCGCCTGCACGTCCAGATCCGACCAATTAGATCCGCGGACGATAAGGATCTGGATCGAATCTAAAAAAGTTCGAGGTCCCTGAAAGACGGAGACGCTCGCGGGGCGAGAACTGGTGGGAGTCTGAGGGGATGTTACGCGGAGACCCGGGCGTGTCCTGTCGCTGACAATTCTGCGGCTGTAATAATAATAGCGGGCGCGGTGTCCGTTACGCATCGTCGTCCTTTTTCCAGCGCGTACGACGCGGCCAAGACAATGGGATTGCACGCGGAGAACGCGCGGGGCAGCCGCGGATACGGGCACGGTGTTATTAAAAATTCACTCCCTCTAGCGGCTGAAGTGGCCTCTGGCAATCTGCATCTCATTCCCGGCGGGCCCTTGTGCCAGCCAGCCATCAGGTGGCTGCCAGCACGCGGGAAAAAGGGGTGGAAAGCCTCGACCGTGGAAACGCCAGACCGTAGGAAGGGTGCTGGGCCGCCGGTGGCTGCCCTTACCAGCTCCACGGTTGGCCTTTTCGCCCGCCGCCGTTGTCGTCGACGCGGTCGTCGACGTGGCCGCCGACGTGGCCGAGGCGCCGAACGAAAAAAAAGGAGAAGTCTTACACCCAATTACACGCGGCATTTAACTAAATAAACACTCGCCGCCTTCGTTTTCCAGCCCCTGTCCGTGGCCTGCCGCCGCGCCCGCCGACATTTTTCTCCGTTTCCACGGACCTTAATGAAGTCCCGTTTTAATGTGCTTTACTTTGTACCGCTTTTTTTCGGGGACATTGTTTGCCCTGGAACGCTGCGAAGATTTCGACCAGCTCTCTCTCTCTCTCTCTCTCTCTCTCTCTCTCTTCCTCTCTCTTTGGCGTCTACCTTCGCCACCGCGCTCATCGCCTCGCCCGCAATGAAACTTGATATTCCCCTGTGATCACTTGTTGAATGTTATGTAAATCCTCCGCTTTCATTTGCCTCGGCGAGGTGTGCGTGTGCACCTGTTATTGGCCCGCGGGCTGCGATTCCCTATTTTATGAGCGTTGCATCTGGACGTGGCCCGGCTCAGATCTCGAACCGAATCCCGGAAATATTAACCGCCGCCATTCGACCGGGCCTCTTGTCCCGAGGATAGACGATTCGAGATCCTATCATAATCCTGTATGCTCACGTGCTCCGACGTGGAAGGGTGACGGGTGGGCGCTCTTGAAGCGTCTGACCGACGCGACGGACGGCAGCCACCCGCAGACGTTCCTTTTCGGACACGTTTTAATCTCTCAAGCGTTAATTTCTTTTCGCGGGTAACATATTGTTCGGCCGACTTTGTCTTCGCCGGGTGGCAGGCACCCTTCCGCCACCTACACTCCCCTGCCTCCCTTCTCAGCGATTCGTCCTTACGCCGGATGACAAAATGACAAAGGGGTGGTCGCCCCGGGCCAGCGATATTACCGTTTCCGTTACGGAACTATGTGGACTGTCTACGCCCCTCCGGCCCGCGTATTACGCCCGAAAACGTCTCGTGATTGATTATGCTCGCTGTACTTTTGGCTCGTACCGCCACCCCCTCGTTTGATGGAGAGACGGCGAAAGCAACCGGCCCGCGATCGAGACGCTCGCCGAGACCTCGAACCGCTCGAAGACGACCGTACCACGAAGATTTACGGCGGAGTGACTCCACGGGACACGATCACTTCGAGGAGCTTTTAAATAATTAAACGGCTACCTCGGTTTACGGTCTGCGTTACGTTCTTGTCGAAATTCTGTCGTCAGTGGACTGCGGATCTTCGTGCAAAAATGAGAATTGTCTGCGTCGATTGCGAGAAATTAGGTATTGCACAGAGATTTATTTATTTATTTATTTTTTTGTTAATTTGATCAAGAGAATGTAATAGTACTTTTTAATTTCTCGAACGCTTCGACTATTCTATATTTGACCGCTGTAAAAGAGTGACATTTTGTAACACCGAGCAGCTGAACAGAAATAAATATAAGCTAATCTATGTATATTCGATATATTCATGTTTGTTCTAAATGCATAAAGATCCGCAGTTTAATTATCTATAATATTCTACAGTTGTAGTAGACAGTTTAGTGGACAGTAGTTGTTAACATTCAAGTACAAAGTAACTTGAACAGTTTAATTGCCACACCACCACCTCAAAAAATGTGCAAAATTGAAATATTTCATAAAATTGAGAAGTTAAGTCGTATGACGTTAATTATATTTTCAATACCATATGGAGTTACTAATATTCCACCGTGGAGAATAAGTTAATAACTTTGGAGAATATGTTCTCTTCCATCTGACTCAATTGGTGAGAAAATATATTCACTGAGAAATATATAAAGTGTAAATTCTCACACCTAAAACAAAGGATTATCTGTCTATCTAAGTTCAGTAAATTCTCCCTAATTTTCCTTCAGCTTGTAAACAAAAAAAAATAGACAATTTGGAAAAAGGAGATACGATAATTTAACTCTGCACCTCGTTTTTATCAAACAATCGTATCTTCTCTTTCCAAATTATCCATTCTTGTCTACAAGCTGAAAGAAAATTGGGATGCATTTATTGTATTTGTTCTCTGCATGTATGGCACCATGTAATTTAACACTAAACCTACCAAGCAGTAATACTAATGTACTGCTTCACGAAAGTGAGAAGACCGAATTTATTTAGAATTTGTAAAGTTTTTGTTATAAAACTTGCTCCAATAATATAACTTATTCAAGCGTTTTCCACGAAAGAATCTCGGAACTTTTCAGAATTGCAAAATAAGAAAGCGGTCGCTTTGACCGCGGTAGGTTTAGTGTTAACATTAATTGTATGACATGCCACGTAATTTAACCTCGACATAAACATTTAAAGATTTCCGCATTCGCTCACCACAGACTCGTGATCCTCGTGGTGAGAAGAAAGCTTCGGTCCTTCGATATCCTTCGACAACTCTTTCCCGTTCTTCTCCTCCTCGTACGCGTGCCGACGTTTGTCCGAGGCCGCGACAGGAACAGCGAGGACAAGAACGAAGCAGATCAGCAGGCTGGTTCGTCTACGACGATCGAAATCGACGCGTGCCGTCATCCTCGTCGCTCCACCTGCGATAGGATTGTTCCCCAGTTAGTCCGGCGTGTTCGCAGCAATATTAAGTTCCAAGGGTGAATAAATTCGCGACCGAGAGCGCGCAACGGTCTATTAAGTCGGCTGATCTCGGGGAAGCATTAATTTCACGGGGGCGCATAATTCTCCTGTCACAATTTGCATTCGGCCTGCTCGCTCTCTTCAGGTGTGCGGCCAGGCCGGGCCGGGCGAAGCGGGCGCGAGCGCGGGAAATTAAAAACGTCCGATCGTAAAGCCTCGAAAGGAGGTGAAATATCACCGGACCCGCACCCTGAATCGTAATCAACCCTTTCCGCTCGGAGAAAAACGCGTCGCGTTCGACGGTTTTCGCCTGGAGACGCTGCAAGGGAAACGCGATCGTGTTCCCGATTCTCGTCGGGAGGAAATTCGAGCCTCTGGCCATCGGAATCGCTGCATTCGACGCTCCTCGTATTTGGTGGGTCTCGGCAAACTTTGCAACCTTTCGCTGACGCGCCAACAATCGACGAAATTTCGTGAGATTCGTGTATATATTTCGTTTAATCGAATTCGAATTGAAACGTAAAGGATTGAGGCTCGTGAAAATTACAGTTCTTTACGGATTTCATTCAAAAACTGTTAATTTTTACGTTTTTCAGTGGATATAGCTTGATTATGCGTCGACCAATCTCAATTAAATCGTTCAGTATGCGCGTACCGAGATCTACAAAATGCATTTTTTAAATCTTCGTTCCGGGTACAGACAGAACAATTAAAAAACGAGAGCCCCATACAAGTAATTTAGGTGAAACTTAGTTCGAGAGAGAGGCTTATTTCAAGTATTAACAGAATTTTAAAAAAAAGAACACATATTCGTCATTGTACAGTAAATTAATTCCTTCAACATTTACCAAAAATAGAAGTCATGTAGGTCAGTTTTAAAAAGCGTTACTTTCTTTTCCTTTCTTCAGGAGTTGTAAATCGTTTTGCATACAGGTTGCCTCAGATTAATCCAACTTAATTTATTCATATATACGGGATACCACACTCATTCTACAATACAAAACAGAAACAAAAACATATCATGAATCGTAGATATACATGTACATATATGTATATGATATCATGCATCGCATATCATACAGGTAAATATCGTGGATCGAGGAAAATACACGCGAACCGTATTAGGCCAATAGGGTATCCCGGGGCCCTATCGCCATTCGCTTTGATTGCAATTCGATCCCGCGATCTTTGTCGGCCAACCTTGCGGTAACAGAGGAACAATCTGCGGAGTCGATGACGCTATCCAAACACGTTGCAGGAACTTCGGGAGCCGGTGTTGCTCCAGAATCGGCAATTAGGGGTTAATAATAATTGAAGTAGGCGAGCGTAGTTGGCCGCCGATGATGCGGCGGTAAAGTTAGAAAATCGAAACTACGACGGTCCTAATTTGAAGGCGGGCCTTGTGTATCGGTGACGTGGAATCGATAGCGCGGATAGGGTCGCGGTTGATTTCTGGCGAGGTAATTTCAGCGAATGACGAGAAAGTTGGCGTATCCGTGTCGGTTACTAAATTAAAGCTGCGCGGATAGAGAAGCGGCTGGGAGGAGGGGGCGGGGGGAGAGGACAGAGTGGAGCGCGCGGAACAAGACAAAGGAAAATAGGGCAAGTAATTAGAAACGAGCCGGGCCGTATTTTACGGCGAGGAGGATTTTCAATGGGAATAATTCCCGCGATGATTCCTGGTTGGTCGTTCCGCGTCACCGATTTTCGGCCAGCCCCGATTATCACCGCGAATTTGTCGCTCCCGATATCCACGGACCGTTCTCGCGAGCCCGCCTGCTAATTTCTCTTCAATATTTCATTCCCTTTGACCGATACGACATAATATCCTGTCGCCGGCTATCGATCGCGTTAACCGTTAACGAAGTTTAATCGTCGTAGGCGCGGGAGGGGGAGGGGAGGAGGTCCGCGGGCCGAGATCCGCGCGGAAACGCGACGATTTTTTGCGGGGCCGCCGCGAATTTCGGGCCTACGAAATTCGTGGTCGCGAGGATCGCGTGGCCGCGGTTGAAACGCGATGGATTCGAGCTCGGTCGAGCGACGAGGCGGTCTGCGTGCCCTCTTGGGACTAATTAAGCGAAGAGATATTCAGCGGTTTTGATCGGCCCCCTCGTTTTCAACGCTCTCGGCGAAACGCCGCGGCGCGGCGGCGAGCGTGCGGACCGATCGAAAAATCCGAAGACCGTAGAAGAGAGTCAAGCGATCGTTTCGTCGATCCATTCGAACGAGAACTGAGAGAGAGAGAGAGAGAGAGAGAGAGAGAGAGAGAGAGAGAGAGAG